CGAAGAACAAGCGCTGTCGTCGTGTGGGATCCTCTTCTTCCCCTGTCAGCAAGACACCTCAGCCCATCTGTGTTCACCTGTCATACAGCGACATTACTTCCCGTATCCAGATGCTTCCTGACACATGTGCGGACGTCACAGTTATCGGCACAAGACACCTCGACATTCTGCGGATCCCTAGGAGCAGCTTGCAACCACCGTCAACTTCTATAACACTCACCGCAGACGGTTCTGCAATGGCACCTGCTCTGGGTACATTTCAGGCTACCCTCACCCTAGGTAAGCAGTCATGTTCTGCCAGGATTCAGGTCCACAAAGGTGTTCAGATGCCACTACTGTCTTAGGGCCACTGTCAAGAGTTTGCCATAATATGCCAGGTGCTGCAGCCTAGTCAGCAGCAGGAACCCCTCATGAAGAACGACAACCCTACGAGGCCCTTTGAGTCCGTCTCTGCGGATTTCTTCGTTGTGGCGGGAAAGTCCTTTCTCGTCATCGCCGACCGGCTCTCAGGGTGGCCTGTTGTCGTCCCCTGCGGAGGCAACACTACTGCCTCTCATACAGTACGTATGTTCTATCGCTTCTTCCGGGAAGTTTTTGTCCCTCTCCGCCTGAGGACTGACGGCGGGCCCCAGTTCACCAGCAACGACTTCCGGGACTGCATGGAGTGATGGGGAGTTTATCATGTGGTGTCCTCGCCACATTATCCCCAGTCCAATGGACATGCCGAGGCTGCCGTAAAGTCCGTCAAGCATCTCATCCTCAAGACGGCACCCTCAGGCAACATTGACTGTGAGAAGTTTGACCGGGGTTTATTGGAATTGCAGAATACCACCAACTTCACAGGTCGCTCCCCAGCACAGATGTTATACGGCCACCCACTACGGTCATGTGTCCCTGCCCATCCTGAGTCCTTCTCGAGGGAGTGGCAGGCCAAGACCGAGGACTGCGATCGTCGTGCAGCCGCCCGTGCTGACCAGGTAAAGGCACAGTACGATCAGCACGCCCGACCCCTTCTCAGGTTGAGTAACGGGCAAACAGTTCGGATTCAAGACCCGACGTCTCACCGCTGGGACAAGGTCGGGGTTGTCATGGGCTGCGGCAAGACCAGGGATTACGAGGTCCGTCTCCCTAGTGGTCGGGTATGGTGGCGGAATCGCCGCTTCCTTCGTTCAGTACCGTCCTCTAGTGGTGAACCCCTCCCCCACATCTCTGTGAACCCTTGCTTGGATGAGAAAAGTAAGTCCTCATTCAGTGACCCCCCAGTTTTCCCACGTCACTCTCAAAGGTTCCTGGAAAAAGAGTCCGCTCGAGATTGCACTACAAGCGTGAGGGGGAGGGAGGTGTAGATATATGAGACGAATATGGCTGTAATATGTAACTGTACTATTTACCATTATTGATTCGGGTCTCTGTATTATATGTTTTATAATCATACTCCCTTTTGTCACCGAGTGTTAGTTCAGACTTTGGGCACATGCGCGCTGTACGCGCAGGTACAGATACCCAGAGAGATTCCAAGACAGGACGCTGTTTACCCCTGTCTTAACTCCTTTTTGTGTTTGTACCAGAAATAGAACTTACAGGCTTGACATCAGTGTATTTCCTTTACCCCTGAGTGTAAGGACCACCTGAGTATCACTGATACTTCTAATAATACAAAATTATTCAACGATGAATCTTCTGAAATTTATACAACCTGTGTCAATAATACACCAACCACCGATATACCCACTAGAAGAAAATGGTATAATATGTTACTGCAGATAATTAGAGCTTATAATAAAGAGCATATTGCCGACAATCAACAACAACGTTTATCTCTATCAATGCTATTTAAAGATCTCCAGAAACAAGAAAATATTATAGAATTCTTAAATAAGAATTCTAAAATTATAGATACTTTGAAACTCTAAGGTTTGTTTCTGTAAATATTCATGTGCAAGAGATTATATGTGCCCACAGCCCACATCACACAGCCCACATCTCTGAGACAACCACCAAAATTTTAACGTAAAAATTTATCTCGGGAATCAAAAAATATAGTAGGATACACATTTATTTACAAATCAATTTTACACTGGATAAGAAAATAATTTTCAAAATACATTCAAATAAATATTTTTCTGGTATCAGCTAAAATATTATTTATGTTTGGATATTCTTGATGTTTTTTTAAAATATTAACCAATTTCATTCCCACAATATCTACATTATCATGATTTAGTATTTCAACTGTAGTAGAATTTGAAGATAACCATTTTTCATGACATTCGTGTAAATTATTTAAATATAATAATGATATATTTTGTTCGCCCTTTCTTTGTCTTTTTACTATTCGTTGAAAACAAATTTGGGTTAACATTTAAATAAAATTTAAGTTGAATAGCAATATAGTTTCCCAGGAGTTTATAGGCGTGTGTAGAAATTATCGAGATATTAATGTTGTCTAGCACTTAGGATGGAAGGAAACTCTAATGTGGTTTTCTTGTATAATATATAAGTTATATGATAGACAGTCTGGTGCTGGAGGTGCCGTGTGGTGGGGAGCTGCTCAGTAGAAGACGTTCGGTGAGTAGCGTGTTGAAGGAGGTAGATGTGCAGGAGCTTCGTTAGAGAAGATGTTGCCTGTTGCTGGCCTCCTGATTGAATGAATGTTAACAGCGTGGAGCTTGCTGGAGGAGATGTTGCTTGTTCAGGAAGATGGGCAGAATGAATCTCAATGGAGAGACAGAGCTTATATACCCAGCAGCAGCCGCCAGTCCTCTATGAATCATGTTGGGAAAACCCAGAAAGTTGCCGGTGACTAGTTTCGTTGCTAAGCAACCGTACCATCTGGGGACAGCTCTCGCTTGGTTGCTAGGCAACGGCACGTTGGAATGTGATGCGTAGTTGTAGGGGAGACGTCCACTACACAGTTTTACGTCAACGTTTTCCAAATTAAGGATGCTTAAAAAAATTAGTTAACTGGTTCTACTGCTGGATTGAGATGGCTGTTACGTTAGTTGTATCAGAAAATACTAAAATCATAATAGATTATATGTATGATTTATTTGCAATTTCTATTCGTTACACTGTACATAAATAACCACAACATCTTGCAGTATCTGAGTAGATATAGGAATAAACATTTATGCATATGTACAAACACAAATTAAGTAGGCTGTTATAGCAATAATAATAATAATAATAATAATAATAATAATAATAATAATAATAATAATCGAATCCAAAATAGTTTACACCGGGAAGACTTGCATCTTTCTTGCTTTTTATTTGTTAATAACTTTATTAAACAATATGTACTATCAATATAACAGATACACACACACACGGTCAACAATATGGAGCGGCGATCGTCACATAACCTGAATTATTTATATATTAGAGCTTTTTCTATTGTATAGCAACCACAGTAAGAGAAGCTAAGACAAAAACAATAAATGATAAGTATGATAGCAGTAACATAAATGAAAGACAACTGACGTTTTATAGTTTGAAAAATCAATATAATCACAATAACAACATTACAGCTAATCAAAATATTTCGTGCGATGAATGATATTAGTAACATAAAACTGTATGATTACACATGTCTGATTTAACTAACGCACAAAAAATACTGAAAAAAAATAGAATTCAGATTATACTGAGAGACACTACTTAAAGCCTCATACAGAGAGTAGGATCTCCCAATAGACTTCAATACGATAAAAGAATACGATCCTTTCCGAATATATTCCAGTAGCACTTTATTATACAGTACTCTATTATATGGTTTCCGTCTTCAAGTTATGAACCATGCAAGTTGTGTAATTTGCAGGTTTTTTTTACTAAACTGCCTCACTATACTGTACTGTAGTTATATACTGTAGCTGTTTTAAGGGTTTATGAAAATGCTCAGAATTTGGGCAAACTTCGATGTAACATTACGGCTCCTAGGATCACTCTCTAAACATCACTTGTGTAACAACTCACTATGTACAATGCACTGATTTTATCTAATCAGTAAATATAAATACAGTATGATAATATTACCATTATATTATACAATAACTTTCTTCGGCGAGAATCACTCCTACAAAAAACCAAGACGGCGAAAAGTGTGGAGTGTGTTGTTTACCATTAGTTCTTTGTAAAGTTTTAAGATGCGGTCGTCGAGGACAGTGTGAGCCTTGAAGTAAGGACACGACGATTTCATCAGCTCACCCACACAATCTTTGCGGTAGTGTTGGAGGTGGGCGTCTGCCTCCGGTATAGACAGATGGTAGCAGTTATTAAGACAGGAGAAAGGGAAGTGGTTGTGGAGTGTGAGAACCCGCTCGGTGTTGTGGAAACACTTGATGTAGGAGCCGGGCCTGGTGTAGTTAGCGGCGCGGTAGACGTGTTGCATCATGTGGAGGTAAGGTGGCACGCCTGGCACTTTGCCATGAGCGTCCTGCATGGAGTCCAGGAAATACACGTTACGAGCACAGTAAGACGACCTGGGCTGCCCCTCCGTGACCGCCAGCAGCTGTTCAATGAGCGACTTCCAGTTTGGAGTTTTCCTGGGCATGATAAACTCATCCGTGTCAAGTAACACTACATATTTATAACGGTATATGTTCCTGTACAAGCAGTCGTTGTACGGAATTACTTCATTCTGGCGTTTATGTACCATTTTAGCCTTTAGATACATGTGTAATAAGCCTCGTGCGTTTGGTTGTTCACCCGGTAGTGTTAATTTAGTAATATCAACCCGCCCGAGGGACTCGTAATACTTTAACACTTTAGAAACATTTGGGTGTATTCCCATCTCATAGAGAAACACCTTGTTAGCCCCGAGAAGATGGAGCAGCTCCAACCACTCCACCATCATGATGCTGTTATCGACATAAGAGAAGTCCAACCCTTTGACGCACACCGCAAAGTCCTCCTTCTGACCTCCTGTTGGCTCATTCTTGATAACCCGCAGGTTGTTGAAGGGCTTGTCGCAGGGTAACTCTACCAACGACACTGACTCTGGCACCCGCTTGACGTGTGTAGGCGGCACCACGCACTGGATCAGGTACGGCTGCAGTACACCTTGCCTGTAATTACCCCAACCTCTAATCCATATGTATTTATATTCCTTAACCTTGGAAATAATGGGACCCTTCTCACCATCAAACCAAAGCTGGCAGTTGGTCTCCACAGTAGGTCTGATGCGATTGGCCATGCCAAGAATGCGAATGGAAGGAGCATCTTTGGACAAAGTGCGGTTGTCGTAAAAGGAGTTGTATAGATAGAAGGTACCATTGCTGGTATGAAGAGCCTGCCAGTATATGTTACTAAACTGGATGTCGAAGAGCGAGGGATACCTAGCACACTTGACGTGACCAGGACTGACGTGTGGGTTTAACTTTTTGCGGTAACTGAGGGGCAGGTTAGGCAGTGCGGCCAGAATCTTATCCTTGTCTTCTGTCACTGAGCTATCGATGGCTGGGTTCGCGTACACCTCCCTGCAGTGTGAAGCCAAATGTGAGAAATTACTTAAATTGTAATACAGTATGGCGATTATTATATCTGAAGATCTGTATCATTATGACTAATGATCAAATGTATAAAACAATGACACACGTTACAATCTTAATGGCTCAGCACCTGATGCTTTCCTGGTCGGTGTAATGGTCGTACTCAGTCTTGAGAGAGGTGAGGTAGAGGAACTTCTCATTAGCCGCCTCCGTCGCTTGGTCCCAAACGTAAATACTGTACCAATAAAACACAACAGGAAACAAACTGTCTTAGGGGGATAAATGTTCCACTTAATTTCCAAACAATTTAAAAATGTCTCAGTTTTAAAGCAAGAATGTCAGAGATTTCCTTATTTCATCGTAAGATTAACCACCTAAAGCTAACTTAACCTAATCCGCCCAGGTATAGCGTTAAGGTGTTTGGGGTGTCTATTCTTCACATAAGCCGACTGCGTATTATAGTGGAAACGAGCCTAATAAAAATGTAGTTTATTACATTGTTTGTGAAGGTAAGGGAGATGATGCGTATTTTATTTTAAGATGTCTTCACATGCACAGAAACTTGAGAATTAACTGTCAGGGTGGCTATAGTAATGTTTCTCTTTATTCCCAGATTATGAACTGGGAAATGTGCGTCATCTGTCAAAGGAACACTGGGGAGAGGCTGAACTGTCCGCTATCAAGTAAACATTATTGATCGAGCTCGGAGATTCAAGGATTTGGATAACCTACCAGATGAATTCCATGTTGACAGTGTTGAGCAACGTTTATGGAAGGAGGAGAGGGCTTATGGCACGCATTATGTATAAAGATGCTTTCTTCCGACAGGCTTCAGAGAGCGGAACAGTTAGTAACAGTCAAAGAAGAGTGATAAGCGTACTTATGCAGCCGCTTATAGCCGAACCTGCCTTACTTGTTTTCTGTGGGGTATTTTTGCTCACAGTCTGCTATTTTAACGTCAGTGTAACCCCACGACTGAGAATTTTGGGGGGGGGGCGGGGTCAGATGTGGATATTATGAACCTGCAGTGTTGACGGGTAGGGAGGTTTACGCCTCAACAAATTTGTTGTCTAATGTAGAACTAAGATAAAGTGAACGGTGTTTATACAGTGTAGACCCTGGATGATGAACGTTTGAAAGAATAAAATACAAAAATATTAACGTAAGATATACCTGTATTGATATTTTCCTAGAATTTGTTTGGGAAGATTTTTTCTAACACGATAAAGTCACAGATGGTAATTACATACATCGTGCTGTATATTAATCTGATCTACAAATTATTGAAATTAAGTATTTTGCTTTAGTTTTACAACCAATTACTGCAATTCATATAATTTCTTCTACATTTGTCAGGTTTCCAACACGCCATTCTGACGTTTTTTGACAAGCTTAAAATTCAGCACTGGTTCGCCTCATTAACCTGCACGACACAGGTGTAACATATGATTCATCCTTAACACACCTTGACGTTACTCACAAGCTTAAATGTATGACGGCACGGGAAGGGGGGCACTCCTCTCTTCTTAATATTATACCAACAGTTACAAGTAACCTTCCCCCGCCTTCCCTGTGTCCCCTTCAAAAAGCAGATGTCATAAAGCCATCTCTCGAGTAAGTGAACTGCACTGTACGTTATTATCCTAAAATACTACTGTAGTGAAATGATCATGTCAAGTGAAAGAATGGTTAATTGCGAGTCAACATAGAGAGGGGCAGATGCGTCAACTCAGTCAATGTATGCTTGTATATATCCTCTCCGAATTCAATAGGAAACAGAGGAAGAGACGAAGAATGCAATACTAAAATGTAAATATATCTATATTGTAATCTTATGGAAGCAAAAATGTATATACAATCCTAGTGGAAACTAAGAAGTGAACATGACAAGACCTACCTGATGGGGATGCAGACGAAGGTGGCACACAGTAAGAGCAGCAGAAAACGTCGTAGCTTGTTGGGGAGGTGACGGAGAACGCGGCATTTTCGTTCCATGTCTGTTGCTTCACTGTCACTGTCCGCGCCTGTAACACCACACCAAACAATATTATATGTTTTTTTCTCGGATAATTTATGTCTCAATAATACTATGAATCATATACCAGCCAATTGACTACGATTAAGACACTATACTTCACACCGCGTATTCCACTACGATACATCAGTTTACTAAAATCAATGCAGTGAATTGTTACTTCTTTCATTTACTTTGACTTTAATCCTCTTCACCACTGATCGGCTCGTTAGCCGCTTGGGCGATCGGCCACGTCTCTGTTACGCACTGTTAGCAAGTACTGGGCATGCACTGCCTCCTGAATGTATCTGAACCTGCTCCAGTGATTATCAACTCTGGTCTTGAAAGAGCTCACACTCGGTGCCGTCACAACACTCTCCGGCAGGTTGTTCTGAGAGTTTACAACTCTCACTCAGAAAAAGTCAGTCAGTCTTGTGAGCCGAACGTCCACCAGCTCCAGGTAAGGGCACTCCACTGAGTAGTACCCTTTGAGATGCTTATACACCTCAATAAGTCTCCTCTTGCCCGTCTGTAGTATATGTTCGACAATATCACGCGGTCCAATCTCTCAGGGTAGCTGAGGTGCTGTAGTGCAGGCACCAGTCTGGTGGCCCTCCTTTGGACATTTTCAATCAACTGACAGTCCCTAGCATATCTCGGGGACCAGACGGTGTGACAGTACTCCAGACAGGGAAGCATTTTACTCATGAAGATCGTTACGAGGGCCGGACAGTCAAGATATCTGAACGACCTTCTTATAAAACCTAATTATTTAGTTGGCTGATTTACCTTCTTCTTGCAATGGACTGAGAACTTCAGTTCATTGTCAACATACACACCTAGGTCCTTTTCACATTCAGTCTCAATTAATGCAGTTTCTTCATCCCGTTGGGACATATGATACGCCTCCTTACCGTTGGTACGTCCCAGGTGCAGCCTCTTGCACTTCGCGACATTAATCTTAGCAGCCATTTCTTTGACCATTCATGAAGCTCACAGAGATCCTTCTGCAGCTCTTCACAGTCTGTTTGGTTCTTAATTTCCCGAAATAACTTGGCATCGTCAGTAAACATTTGTATGGAGGAGTGTATAGCTTCTGGCATGTCATTTATGAAACAAACAAACAACAGCGGGCCCAATACACTGCCCTATTAGGGTGTGTCATACGGAGGCGAATTTTTTTTTTTTGAGTTTGAAAAATCGGCCCATGGTATTAATGATGTAGTTCTATGTGCAGAATCATGTGATATCTTCAGATTTGAAAAGTTTTCATTTTTTGCTCGGCAAATTTTAACTTGAAATCTTATGAAAATTCAGTATTCCCACCCTTTTACCAACACCACTAAATAGCTTATTTAAGTAAAGTAAATGTATCAGGTTATTTAATTGTGGGATGAAAATGATCCAGAATAGTGAAAGCGAATGATCTTGCAACACATTTATTAAATTTAATATTCCTTTAGAAAACAAAATCATCAAATACAAAAACCGGTTTTTACTACTACGACGTGTTGCTGCACACACCATAAGAGAACATGTCTTTCTTGCTTCTGTTTCTATGCATCACCTCCTGCCTGACCACCTGGCTCAGTGCGGCCCTCCTCTCCTGTGTACGTGACTGCTGGCCTCGCTCACTTGCTGTACCTGGCAGCTCTACTACTCTGCGGGTGTGCGAGGGCCAGGCAGGGACATGCATGGGGTTGTCCAGGAAAGCTCTGACTTGAACATTGGTGAGGCTGCAGGTAAGAGGGGCTCACTGCCAGCCTGGATGTTATCCAGATCTATGAGATCAGTGAGGGTCGTGGCACCTAGATTAACTTCAGGAGTCTTCCTGACCCTGAAGGAATCGTCACCAACTAATTCGTCATGCCCAGATCCTCTCATAAGTCTCATATCCAAGATCTTTTTGACTGCCACTCTTCTCTCCTCCTCATCCTTACTGCAGAGCATTGTCACTTTTCCGAGGCACCGCCTCCCGGGGATAGGCATACCAGGAAAGATCTCCTCACGTGCTCCACAATCTGAACAACCTTCCTTGGTTGACTCATAAGACTCAAGCTGGAAGAACATGCCTCGGACTTCGGAGAACATGATGACTTGACCTTGAGTGTGAATAGTTTGTAGTAGACCTCACGATAGATTGGACAATAAGTCTCCAGGTTGTGAAAGCTGGTTCCCTTTCAGTTTATGATGAGCGACCCAAATTCTGCAGAACCTGAGAGCCGTTGTGAGCCACCTAGAATGTGAGACTGGACCTATCTGCAGGTAAACAAGTCTATCAGGCATGACCCCAGTTTTGATGGCACTGCAAATCATGTAACCATAGTACTGGTCAGTACTCAGGTCGTCAATGACAGTATGTGCAAGCTCAACGAGTGGAGGGCCAACTGTGATTTTTCAAAGCTCGGATT